GGATGAGATGACGGCGGAGATTGGTCAATTATAGGGGGGTTTTCATTACGATCTCCTTCCACCTGTATGCATGCCTGTGTGAGGACTTTTTCCGGTTCCCCATTCGAGAGATGGGCTATATGCAAGTCCAGAGAGGCAATATCCAGAAACGTCTGATTACAGTGAGCACAGTAAAATCGGCAACCGTCAGCAGCGGAGTTGTAAAGGGTGTAGCTGTTTTGTGCCTCCTGAAATCCGTTTTGCCCACAGACAGAACAAAAGCCGTCTTTTGGAGGGCGTGGTTGGGCCGCGTAACAGACTGCACAGACAGCCACGTTGGTGGCAATTGAATGCGTGCTGGCGTGAACTTGCAGGTCTGAAGCAGATAAAAATTGTGAAGAACAGTGAAGGCAGCCGAAAAATGCCGTGTTCGGCAGTTCGGTAGGAATGGGCATGTCCTGTTGTATCACCTGGTAGACGGGCATTGGCTGAGACTGAACAAAACTGCCCTGTGTATCCTTCGGAGACACAGTAGGCAGTAAGGGTTCAGTCGGCACAACGGTAGGCATGGCGTTTTCTTGTGCAAAGGCTGGCACCTGTGCCTGTTCGTCAGATCCAGTCGGCGCAAAGTGTGATGAAGCGCCAGCATTTAAAATTCCAACTTCAGAGGCCGGATCAAAGCGCACCAACTGTTCTCCATCTGCCGGACCAAAATTAACCGATTCAACAGTTTCGTAGTCACCACGTAAATCCAGACCAGGGAGATCTGACTCAAACACCTGAAGCTGGGATAGATTTTGGGCATCTACGTAACTATATGCTTCCCCGCAGAAGATACGCGGACTGTAATCCTCCATCTGACCCAGAGTTGTTCCCTGCGGGAGGATGAAAATATCACCGGATTGGAGCTCATACACAGTTTGACCAAATATGAAGGGCGCGGAGGATGGAACGGCCTGATTCACGACCGGAACTGGGTCTCCACCTAGGTCAGATACCATGCCCACAGGTTCATCCGTAACGAGTGAGTTTGGATCTGCTTGAACAAGGCCTGAGATCGAAGAGTCATTTGGAAGGATAACAAAGGTGGACTGATTAAGATGTGGCTGTGCAATCGACGTCGCAATGACAGGGCCAAGCCATGTTGCCTCCTCCGCCGCCACAACAGGTTCGGTTCCGTTAAAATCACCAACTGGCTGGGTGCTTTGAAGAAGTTCATCTACAGGTGGCAACTCAGGCATGTTCGTTGCCTGAGGACACGAACTACTAGGATCCGGTTGAATGTAGTGTGATGCATCCTGAAGGTATACTGAGAAAGAGTTTCTCGGAGCATCGTTTTCTGAGACTGTAAACTGGTCCACTTGGCGAACGTCCGGAATCTCCTGTGGGTTGGATTTATCAAATATTTCGCTGGATAATCCATGTGGCGGACTCTTGTTATTTTCGGTCATGGAAAATTTCACGCATGCAGAGGAGACCAATTGCTCCCGGAGGAATTTAGGCAAGGTTTCTTTGCACTCAAAGAATGGATATAATTTTGGACGATTGTGAACTATTCGAAGATGAAGAAGACAAATCGAAACGCAGTGAAACTTCCTGTTGCAGACAGGACATATGAAATTCCGAGAAAGAAAATGGCTCACAAGGTGACAAAATGCAGTACGGCTATTTGGCAAAGCCTGACAGCAAACAGCGCAAATGCGAGTAAATGGACTTGCTTGTCGAATTAGGTCTTTTAATAATTGCCGGCGCAAATAAAATCGATTCACATTTTTAGTACCCTCATATGGCGATGGGGATCCGAAACGAGGCAGAGACGGCTGGAGTCTAGCTAGCCGTTTCCGAAAGTAGCATAAGTTTACAACATTGGTTATTTTATTGCACAGATTGGCATGAGAACGTTTTTGCTGAGTGGATTCAAGCAAGTGGGAAAGTTGAGGGTGAGTCCGGTGACGTTCAGAAAGCGCAGAAGACGAAGAAAGAAATGTTTTCGTTTTTGCATGAGTAGCAGGCACTTTTCTGCGACGATTTCGGCCCATGTAGGAACCAACCATGAGGTTTGTATAGAAAGGGTGAGATGCGGACGAACTGATATCATTTAAATGAAGGCGCTGGTGTAACTGAAGTGGCGACTTGGCCTTGAAGGAGGAAAGGCAATAGCGGCAATGAAAACGGAGATCAAAGCCATCGAGGCTGGAAGAAAGGACAGATAGGATGGTGGTTATCGCTGAGAATATAGAAAGATTGACCCGCTTCATTTCGAAAACACTCAAATCCTCCGGACACGCCTCAATAGCTGCGTCAGTATTTTGTGAAGTCCGCAAGTTATGGCTACCATTGTGATGTCTCCACAAGTGTGCGGTTAAATTGTGTTCATAATGAAATGTCTTAGAACAATATTCACAGTAAAATTGTCCTGCATCATTGTGAACAACAATATGCGTCTTTACCGAGGACATTTGTGTGAATGATTTTGAGCAAACGGGACATGAGTATGGTTTTGTGCCAGTGTGAGTAGACAGATGACGTTTTGCGGCGAAAAGAGATGATGATTTTTTGTTGCATAACAAACAAACAAAAGCACATCTTTTCCGGTTTTTCATTACTTTCTGAATGTATTTATCTGTGTCAGACAGATCAATGCCAGAAGAAAGATTATTTTTTATGACACTATTTAATTCCCCGTCTTTGTCTCTTTTTCTGCGTTGTTTGCTTGATACCTTTTTAAGAGACTCGACGGCCCTTAGCTTGCTCTTTCTGCAGGCACGCTCAGTGGAAGTTGTCAAATCAGCAGAAGGAGACATCCTATTTGGCGGTGAAGTTTCTCTTAGTTGACTTTTAACTGTCGACTTTTTCGGGCTGCCAGGATGGAAAAGACGGTAGTGTTTCCGAAGTTCTCCAACTGAGGAAAGGCTTGCATTGCATAACCGACAGCAAAAAGAGCGTAGCTGAATCATATCCGCATCGTTCAAATCTCTTAGACCAGAAGTTGTATTGTGAGTGAGCAGGTGAGTGGATAGCAGTCCATCGGAACCAAAGGATCTAGAACACTTTGGACATGAGAATTCTTCCGTTTTGTGAAATTGGAGATGACATTTAAATGCAGCGATTCTGTTATACTTCTTTTGGCAGAAGGGGCAGATAAATGTAGACATGTCAGGAAAATATGACTCTGTATGCTCCCTAAGCTTGTGAACCAAAAGGTTTGCTTCGCCTGAGAAGGAATTACTACATTCGGTGCATTCATGGACCGGCCCACTACCAACAAGGAGATGGGTCTCAGCCGAAAACGTCGGAATGCTGTCAAGATCCACCAGTGTCTTTTCTTGAAACAAAGCATCTGGGTAAAAAGTCGTAGGAATAGCCTGGCAATATAACGATTTTCTATCCTGTAGGGGATCGGACGGGACGACATCAGATAGTAAATTTGAAGCGTCGTGGAGGCCCGTGCCCAACCAAACGGAAGACGTTTTATTTTGAGTAGCATACTGACGTTCACAATCAAGATTCAATACGGTCCCATTAACATTTCCCAGGTAGTCATCTGAGAATAACTGATTCCCACATTTCCCTTTTACATTATAACGCCAGATGTCGGAGTTAATCTGATGTTCCTAAGTAAACGTATAGCTAAAAAAATGTATCGGGATTTTTACTCTAAGATTATTTGACATTCAGACTTCAACTGACGGACATTGGATATCTGCCACTCCGGAACCGAGATCAAAAAACCGCAACCTAAATACCGACATGCGAAATTATGTAACGGCCAGCTAGGTTGCTGCTGCAGATTTATCGCCTAACGCTGATAGAATGAAGGTCGAATCTGCAAAGATGTGTGCCTTTATTTTCAAACTTTATTCTAGAACCAAGGTAATACTTTGTTGAAAGTTTGTCCGTCCTATTCTTGAATAGTGCTGTCCACGCCCTTGCTTTCAGAATGATCTAGTCGTTCTCAAAGTGAGATATTCAACAGCCGTTTTACTATAAAATTTGAATCGATGCTAGCTAAATTAACCTAAAATGTAGGTATGTTCTGAGGCCGGAAGTTGGTTTTTGTTTCTTTTCTATCTTTCTTGTAATTCAAATGTTTCCGAATTCCAGCCCCTTCCCCTGCTGGTCGTCCGTGATTATACCTCCGTCCTTCACCTCTACATGTGAATGTCCTCTCTACTTCCAGGTATTATTTTCTCTTGGAATAACCTCCCAACAGATAATCCGCTGTCAAATATCCTATCTGCCTTAGGTCACTTTATTAACGTAAGAAGGCTTTCGTACTTGGGCTCCCTGTTCATATCCAAAATCGCGAAAAATCAAGTTTGACAATAGTAATTAAAACAAATGTGCAGTTAACATCAGCGATATATGTGAGCCAGTTACAAATTGCCACTACAGACACAATGTGCGGTATACTTACTACAGTTTCTGAGTAAATGAGAATCCAGTTTACGTTGAAATGTCTCAACCGATTCTGAAAAGGACAATCTCGTCAGGGAGTCCGTTCCACGCCCCAACGACCCTCTGCGAGAGGGCACTCCGTCGAACGTCCATATGGGCCAGATTCCTTTGCAGTTTAAAAGGATGACCCCGCAGATGATCTGACCGAACCAATTCGCGGAAGTTGTAGTGACATTGAACTGGCTTTTGTTTTACTCGGTTAGATATGCTTTGAAGTAACTTTACACCCCTTTTAAATAAGATGTTGGATAAGCACGTTCTTTTATCTGCAAATGACTTTGTTCTATCTAATTATTGAGATAGTCTCATCTCAGGTTCCTGGGTAGATTGTTTTACATCCCACAAAGTTATCAAATTCTTGGGCGCATTCATGGCCCCTGAACATTTTCGTAGTTTTGAATGAGCTCACTGCACAGTCGCTTGTAATTGAGAGGAAACAGATTTAGTTTAGTCGATCTGTCTTTGTAAGGCAAACGACTAAGATTCTTTTGTATCTTCGCAGTCCTCTCTTGTATTTGTTTCATGTGCATATGCTTATTCTTAAACCACGGATGTCAGGCCCGAGCGACACTCCAAGTGGGACCGAACAAACGTTCCATAAGTATTTCCGAGGAGTTTCTTGTCGATGTGAACGAATCCCCGCGTAATTGCATGCATCACCTGCGTCGCGCGTTTAGCTGCCTTTAGACACTGTAAAGATGATTTAAGCGGCGATTTTATAAGAACACCTGGGTCCTTCTGTTCGTCAACACTTTAAAGGGGTTGCCCATCGAGGAGCTATTGGAAGGAATCATTCTCCTCATTGGTCCTCTTAGTACGGAGCCTTAAAATGACATTCCTACTAACGTTGAATTTTAAGAGCCAATGAGCAGACCAGTTGCTAAGTCGATTGATACTGTCTTGGAGTACTTGCTTATTGACGTCAGACTTTATTACGCTACCGAGATTGGCGTCGCCTGCAAACATGATGGTGCTGCAACCCAGGCCGTTGACACAGTCGTTGGTATAAATATAGAAGAGCAACGCCTCTAATTTCCGAACATTTTTCTGAATGACTCCAAGAAAGGGCCATCGATCAAGTAGAGGCACATTCCCAAATTTCGTTTCCATGCGTCGTGCCTCCCACGAACCAACATAACTCCTCGAAGTGCTTGAATTATGGTTCTCATGGCCACAGTCCATTAAGAAGCGCAATGAACAACCGTTCCCGTATTCTGTGTTAAGAATTTTCCGGGGGGAGAAAAACCAGTCACATGAGTGAGCACCACTTCTAATTGAGAATTGATGCACAGCTTGCGATCCGAAACCTCAAACAAACAGAAACTACTTCGTTTAGTAAGTCAGTAACTTCTTACCCAACACATAAGTGCATGCTGGAGGATGACCAACACAATCAAACTGAACAACCGGCCAAGCCATGCAGTACTGATGTTACTGCGACGCATAGCCCTAGTTCCTCCCTGCC